TTTTATTTCAATGAACTGGAGCTCCTATTCCTTCTCCATGGATGCTATATCTCCTTTTAGGGAGGACTTGGGTATATAGTAATGGTCTCTGTGTGCCAGGACCTAGCAAAGTGCCTTGTACCCAGAGGAGCTTATGTAATGTTTGTTATTCAATTAATTAACAAATGAATTAGAGTGTGAATGGATATTGCAATGCTATGACTGATAGAAAGGTAAGTACTCAGTGAGTCTTAAGGGTTGGGAAAGAATGTTTGGGGCTGGAAGTTGTGTTCAGGAAACTTAGATTGATTTTCCAAAGGAATGGACTGACAAGAAATGTGAGATTAATGAGGAAAAGAAAAGAAAATATATAATTTAGGTGACTGAGGATACCTGACTCCTGATGACGTGTCCTTTTAGCCTAATTTCCTTTTTGGCCTACTTTGCCCCACCATACCTTTTGCCCTTGGCAGGAGCTTTTGTTAGTAGAGATGATGATGGGCGTGGGTCTCCTGTAGCTGGTTTTCATGCTGGGTCTGGGTTTGACCCCGGTGACCCTGGCTTAAATGACAACAGGTACAGACACTTTCTGGCCCAGCACTATGATGCCAATCCAAGTAGCCAAAATGGCAGATACTGTGAAACCATGATGAGGAGATGAGGGCTGACTTCACTCTGCAAAGACACCAATAACAACTCAAGGTGGTCTGTGAAGATGAGAATGGAATGCCTTAGAGAAAAAATATCAGAATAAGCAGGTCTCCTTTCCAGGGCACTATTTGCAGGCATAAAGAGGATCCCCCTGGCCTCCCTGCCAGTACAGAGCCACATCAGGGTCCACAGACATAGTTGTTGCCTGTGAACATGACCTGCCTATCCCTTTGATGAGTCTTTTTACCGTCCATAACCAACAGGCCAGTGGCCCAGAGTTGGCTCTGCTCTCCATTCCTGGCTCTTCCCCTACACACTCCAAAACAGGGGTGACTACATTCATTGCCAGGGGCCTAGAAAATGAGCTGCCTGGATCTTTTGTTTTCTGTTTCACAATATGTTAATAAAAAAATGTCTCTGAAATCAGTAAGAATCAATGTCTTCTCATCAATTCTTGGCCTATTGATTTTCCCCATTTTCTCTACTCAGCTGCTCCCAGAGAGGATGGCATGGATTACAAATGCCCTTTTGCTTATCAGTTAGTGCCTTCTTAGTCAATAGGGAGGTAGACTTTCCCTTCCTGTGAGTGTAAGGATGTTAAATTAATCTTATAGAGAGAGCTGGGAAATTCCAGGGCTCATGGCTGTGAAGCAAAATTTTCAGGAGGGGCAAATTGTTCTTGCTATTAAGTAAGCCCATATTACTTTTAGAAGTGATGTTTAGAACTAAATACCAACAGATTAATTAAACTTTCTATCTACCTCCCTCTAAAACTTTCTCTCTCTCTCTCTCTCTTTCTCTCTCTCTAGCACATAAACACATACACCTACACACCAACACACACACACACACACTCACACACACACACACACACTCCTGCATGAACACCAAAATTAACTCTTAGTATGCACCTCTTGTCTTAGGCAGGAGGTAATTTTAAGTTGCTTTGACTAGACTGCTCCCAGGGTATTCTCCTGGTAATTTCATATAAAGATTAAAAATTTAATTACTTCACATTATTTTCTCTTTAAATTTTTACTTTGTCAATGGATGTCAGGCAACTGTGAGGTCATTGGGAATTTATA